TTTTCGATCAGTTGCAGGGCGCACAGGTCTTTTCTAAAATAGATCTACGATCAGGTTACCATCAGGTGAAAGTGAGAGCTGAAGACATCCCCAAGACGACATTCCGAACCAGGTACGGACACTATGAGTTCCTGGTTATGCCGTTTGGGCTAACCAACGCCCCGACCATCTTTATGGATCTAATGAACAGAATCTTCAGAGAGTTTTTGGATAAATTTGTCATCGTGTTCATCGATGATATCTTAGTCTACTCAAAAAGTAGAGAAGAACATGCTCATCATCTTGCCCAAGTCCTCCAGGTACTCAGGGAAAAGAAGTTGTATGCAAAGTTGAGCAAGTGTGGATTTTGGCTCGAGCAAACCGCCTTCCTAGGACATGTTATATCGAAGGAAGGGGTGTCGGTGAACCCCGAAAAGGTTGAAGCGGTACTTGGTTGGGAAAGGCTAACAACAGTTAAGGAAATTCGCAGTTTCCTAGGGATGGCGGGTTATTACCGCCGGTTTGTCGAAGGGTTCTCCAGTCTAGCGGCCCCTCTAACCCGACTCACAAAGAAGAATGCAAAGTTTGATTGGAATGAGAACTGCGAAAGGAGTTTTTCAGAATTGAAGAAGCGACTGACTACTGCACCCGTGCTGGCTCTACCGAGTGGATCAGGAGGGTATACAGTTTATAGTGATGCCTCCTATCTGGGCCTGGGTTGTGTCTTGATGCAGCATGGAAAGGTTATAGCATATGGGTCTAGACAGCTAAAGAATCATGAGAAGAACTATCCTACCCATGATTTGGAGCTTGCCGCAATCATACACGCCTTGAAAATCTGGCGCCATTATTTGTATGGAGAGACCTTTCAGATCTACACCGATCATAAGAGTTTGAAGCACATCTTCACTCAGAAGGATCTCAACATGCGTCAGAGAAGGTGGATGGAACTCCTCAAGGACTATGATTGTGACATCCTATACCATCCAGGTAAGGGGCAACGTAGTAGCCGATGCCCTCAGTAGGAAGAGTGCAGGCACCCTAGCCCCATCTGATGGGTTTCGGAATGCAGGTCCATTGGGGGCTTACGCAGCAGGTTTCGACTGCAAGATCTGAA